CACTGATCATAACGAGCTCACTAAGTCCTTTGCAAGACGTGTAGCTAGTCATGATAAGGAGTTTGATGTTGGATGATAAAAGAAATAAAGAAAGAACAAGATTCCGATGCAAAAACGAGATATCGGATTAGATTAATCAACTTTCACAAAAGAGGCAAGTTCTTAGAGCTAAAAACAGATAAGAGATAAGATCCCTAGGTTTTTAGTCTCAAAATGTATTTATAGCAAAGGGAAAGTGTCGTGGGTCAGCACGGAACAAACCGGGTACTGAACCGCCTTCTTGGGTTGATGGGTGAGTGCCACGGTGTGTCGGAAAGTGAAGCCGAGGTCTTCATGCCGAGGCGTGCACGTGAGTCAGGATCAAGATGAAGATCTCGTGAAGAACACGTCAAGAACATGCATGAACCCTAGTCTTTGATCTATCCTCACGTGTATGTTCTTGAGCCATTCTGTTCTTGATTCTGGGTTCGTGACAAGGGACCTCGGGATAAAATGTCGAGGGGTCATGATGTCGAGGTGCTTGGGAGAACACAGTCCGGCATGCACGCCGAGGTCATTACACCGAGGTGTACTTTCAACACTTAGTCGTTTCCAGCTTCAGTTCTTACGTATGCATACCTCGATCTAACCATGCCAAGGCTTTGGCACGAGGTCTAGTCCAGAATACTTCCAAGATATGAGCCTCGACTTGAGTGACGCCAAGGTAAAGATACCGAGGCTTGTGAGAATACTTAGCGCGTATCGCAACTCTTTTAGGCTTGTATCGACCATGTCACCTTCCGGAAGCAGTAACTTTCAGCACACGACTCCAATTGCTCTGGGACCAGTTCCACAGTCAATATGACTCAATAAGCTCGAACTTTGGTGAAAAAACCATCGGAGCTTGGGGAGTGGAAGGCTTCCTGGATTTAACATCTTTGCGCCGCATTGAAATCACCGGAAAATAGACTTTTAGACCGATGTGAACTCCGGAGACCTTATCTTCCAAACCTTTGCTCCGAATTGAGCAATTCCAAATGCTCTGAGAAGATCTTCCATGGATCTCGAACTTTGGTGAAGACCGGGTAAGCTGGTTCGGTCTGGAGGGGCTCCGTCCGCCATGATCTTTTAAGTTCGCCGTTCAGTTCTCGGGTACGCGCAATGCTGGTGAATGCTCCGGAAGCCATATCTTTCTCTCCACTGGTCCGAATTGGATGATTCCAACTGTTCTGGAATCTTTGCTTGGTTATCTCCAACTTTGGTAAAGACCCTGCCAACTGATTCGGACCGGAAAGTTCCCCGGATTGCTGATCTCTGAATTGCGCGGGCAAGGACAACTTTTGGTCGTAAAAACCTTCCCGCGGTAAGAAAAATGGCCGAGGGCTGTGTACCGCGGTAAGCTTTTTGGTCGTAAAAATTCTTGCCTCGGTCAAAAACTTGTCCCGTGGTATTTTTGCACTCGATACTCGATTCTGGCCGATCGGTAAGGTTTTTGGCCGGTAATGAGCGTCCGGTAAACATTTTTTGGCCGAGGTTTCCGACCAGTCGGTACGAGATTTGGCCGAGAAATTCCTCCAAGCGGTTTTCACCATTTTTGACCCTTTTCTTCACCGTTTTCTTTTCTTTTCCTCTTCTTAGGCTCCAATTGGTCTCCAAAGCTCCTGATAAAGACTTCAAAACATGCAAAACTATTTGGGACCTAATGCAAGCCCTAAGTCCTATTTTAACGCCTAAAGACTCAATTTACATGAGAAAACACATAATGAGGACTCTATAATGCAATCTAAATGATGTAAAATATAGACATATCAGAAACCAGAATCGGGCATGTTAGGTCAATGATCTAACCTCATTCAGTTAGGCATCTGGTTTTGTCTATTGTTGAGCAACAGATACGCCAGGACTGAAAACGCCTATGTAACAATGACAACATGCACTAAACATTCGACCCAGTGCTAACCTGAAAAGAAAAAGGAGGCGTGAGTTATTCACCCAGTGAGGTGAACCTTAAGAAATTCATTATCACTTCCAACATAATGTGAAATAACGATTAAGAAAAGTTTAATCCTAAACAAGCTCAAGAAAGACTCAATCCAATAAAATTAAGCTGATTAAAAATAAACAAGAAAACAATCAAAGTATTATTTATTGTTCCTTCAAGCATCAATCATCAGTCATCATCTATTTCTAACAATCTATCTCACCACACATCATCAACAGTTCATAAAGACACCAAGTCACATCCGATGGACACTTATAACAGCCATAGTTTAATAGAAGACTAATCAACATATTAAAACATAAAATGAAGGGGTGGGATAAGCAACAAGCCCTCACCTTGGATGAAGATACATTTTTCCACCTTTTCTCATCTTCGAGCAGATTTGACACCTGACACGAAAATAACCATAACTCCTGGAACCAATCTGTGATCTGGACAAACTCGGTCTTCTCGGAAAGCTGAGACTTGGGGCTTCAATTTGTATGATATCGAAGAGGAGAATAGAGAAATAGGAGAGATATGGGTTTCTGGGAAAAAATTGGTTTATATAAGGTTGGTTTGGTTTGGATTCGTTTAGGGAGGAATTGATTTTAATTAAAAAAAAAGATCAAGAGATTGGGATCTCTCAATTCTCTCCTCCTTGCAAATGATTCGTCCCCGAATCCTGGGAAATGGAATAGCTGGGGAAATGAAACGAACCCTCGATAAGAATGCAAAGAAGAAGAATTCTCAATCTCCAGAGAAGGGAAAAGAAAATAATATGAACACATAATCTAACTAATTCATATTAAAACCTAAAAACAATCAATAAATTAAACAAAGAAAAACCGATTTTTACTCCTAAAATTTTTTTTCTTTTTTATTAACGTGAAAAAGAGGAGTTGAACAATTTTTTAAAAAAAGAAAAAGAAAAGAAAAAATCACTAACAAGAAATCTAACTAATTCATAAGAAAACCTAAAAGCAAGAAAATAATTAAAAGTCTAAAAAAAATCAGGAAATTAAAAATCTAAGTTCTACTCCAAAAGAAAACCTTTTTTTCAAAGCTAGAAGCACACAAATTACCTATCGGACGAGATGACAACCAGCTCTTTGCTAATCTCCACTTGAAAACGAGGAGTGACCTTCTTGCGTGCTGCTATACAAGTGTGGAAGAACCTCCAGCTAAAAAAAAAAGAAAAAATAAATAAGAAAGAGAAGTTTTATTGAACTGTTATCTGATGTGTTGTTGTTACCGGTTTCGAAATCACCCAATTTTTTTTTAACATATATATCTATATATGTATCTATATATGTATATATATCTTTATCAAAAGCGACAAAACTGTGGGCACGACCTCTTAGGAAAAAACTAGGAGATCTCCCTGAGCTCTGATACCAACTTGTAACATCCTTATCCTGGGTTCCCGAGGAAACCAAAATCGGGCATGTTAGGTCGATGGTCTAACCCCATTGGGTTAGCCATCCAGTTTTTTCTATTGGTGAGAAGCATGTATGCCAGGACCGAAAACGCCCGTGTAGCACATCACATATCATCAACAACATTTCATAAAGACACCAATTCACATCCTATGGACACACTTATAACAGCCATGGTTTAAGAGAAGACTAATCAACACATCAAAACACATAATGAAGGGGTGCGATAAGCAACAAGCCCTCACATTTTCCTTACTGGATGAATATACTTTTTTCCACTTTTCCTTATTTTTCGAGCAGATTCGACACTGACACGAAAAAGGCTATAACTCCTGGTACCGATCTCTGATCTGGACAAACTCGGTCTTCTCGAAAATCTGGGACTTAGGGCTTCTATTTTATATGCAACTCGTCGCGTGAATCCTCGCCATTTGCTGGATAATCGCCGTGCAAGTCAGCAGTGCGAAAGAGAGAGGAGGAGGCCAGGAGAGAAGAGAGAGGAATAAGGGAGAGATGTGGCGGCACGACCAAAGGGGAGGAGGAGCAGAGGAAGGAGAAGGAGCTGCGGTTAGAAGACGTAAAAAAAAAAGAAGAAGAGGAGAAGGGAGGATGATGGCACAGAGGAAAGAAGAGAAATATGAGACATAATATTTTGGGAAAAAATTGGGTTATTTAAGGTTCGTTTTGGTTTAGATTGGTTTAGGGAGGAATTTAGTTTAATCAAAAATAGAGATCCAGAGATTAGGATCTGTGCATAAATTCCATCTTTGATATTAATTAAAGTGTCAGGCTTTTCTTCCATGATGACATCAATTTTAACGACTTGCAATTCCATCTGTTGTGAGATTCCGATCCCGTCTTTTTTTCCTGAAGACTAGACGGACAGGCTATTACCTACAGTGAGATTCCGATCCCGCTATTTATTTGGACCAGCTATCAACTCTGAACGCCCCAACCGCTCATTCCAGTGACTCCAACACCCTCTCTCTAGGTCTGTGAGCCTAACGTCTTCTCTCTAAGTTCGTTGGCTCAACGTCCTTTATTAGGCCCGTTGGCCTATCACTGTCTGATGGTCGGTGCGTTAGTCTGGAAGGCTCGTAAGACTTGTGTATTATTCTTGCAATCACCACATTATCTTTCCCCATGATTTTATCCTTACTCAGACGGTACCACAGACTACTTTCCGATAGGTCACTCACTCTGAAATTGTTCTCAGCTCAAGTATAGTTAACTCTCGAATTTTCTTAAGACCAATGCCCGAAAAGATAAAAGCACTTTAATGACATAGATAATCAAATCATTTCTTCTAAACTTCTTATCATATACCAGAAATCAAGCAAGATATTACATCTGTGTTCTTGATTGTTGAATGTTTATAACCGATGGACCATCACCATGGTGGTTCGGTTAACTATAACCCGCTCTAATGCGTCCAGGGCCACACGCTCTGACTCAGCGTCTAGAGCACCTGTTGCAACACCTTAGGGTCTTTAACAAGGCATCCCTTGGTTCGTTTGAGAAATTCTTATTCTACATGTAAATAAACTAATAATATAAATATTAAAATTAACAGATATGCTCGACGAGCGAGACTAAAAATTGGATATTCCATAAACAAAACCACGAATATTCGGCAATAAATAAAAACAATATATGAGCCACGAGCAGGCCTCACCTATTTTTTCCAGTTTTGATTCTCCCTCGTTCGCCATGAAATTCGGCAAGAGCCTTAGCAACCAGATCGAAGAAACCTTGCCTGAATGGCAAGACAAGTTTCTCTCCTACAAGGAGCTCAAGAAGAAGCTCAAGCTCATGGAGCCTAGAGGCGGCGAGAGTCGCCCAAACAAACGTTCGAGATCCGACCCGAATCCTGTCGACGCAGATCCAACGGAAGGTATGACGAAAGAGGAGCTCGATTTCATTCGCCTTCTCGAGGATGAGCTTGAGAAATTCAATTCTTTCTTCGTCGAGAAAGAGGAAGAATACATCATCAGATTGAAGGTACACAAAAATCAAATTCCCTCGAATATTATGTGAAACGATACAAACAGGTGGCGATCTTGTTATTAATGAAGAAACAGAGCTCTGTTATTTCGTATGATCTGTTTGCTTCAACCTGAAATCTCAAAACTCATGTTCTGTGTCTTTCACGATGTAAGTATTTCAGAAACAGGCGATCTCTATTGCTAATGAGTAATGATGATGAATTTTAATAGTAGTAGTCAGATGTAAATGTAATTTGCATTTCCTGATTGTTTATTACAATTCTAAGTATCGAATTCTAGGTTTCCAAGCTTTTCATAAGAATTATTAGCCAAAACTGGAGTAGAGAAATCTTATGTAAGTTTTGAAAGTAGTTGAATGAGGAGAAACCAGAGAGTGGTCGTCCAATGCCCAATGGTGCGGTTTCGAGTGGTGAATGATGATCGTGTGGGTCTTGTTCAGGGTTCGAATCCCACCGGCTAGGGACCACCACTATTTGCCCCTTTCTTGGCTGCTCTATACGCTAAAAGTGGCAAGAATACCCGACTTTCTAAGACTAGTTAGAGATTTATGTACGTAGTTTTAGTCCATTTCACTGATCAGTATCCTTTTAAGTTTCCAAGGGCTAGAATGTGGACCATTTTTTTCGTTTAAACAGCATATTCAACTTCTTCTGGGAACCGGAATCGCAGGAATTGAAGGACCAAGTGACAAAGGCAAAGAATTCAAATGAAGAGATGATTAATATAAAGAAAGAGATTGTAGACTTTCATGGAGAAATGGTGCTGTTGATGAATTATAGTGCTCTTAACTATACAGGTAATCGTTCGTTCTCATGCCCTCTCTGTTTTAATTCCGTAGGTTCTATACACTCCTAACTAGAAAAGCCAACATTGATTAAACCTTATGCCTAAACAGAACAAGCTTACTTGTTTTGCCTGTCAACCATTTTCACTAGGCCGATCTCTAGCTTTATAAAACTCATCAGAACAGCGGTGTTCAGTTTTAGCAGTTCCTTGTAAGGGAAACCTGGTCAATGGGCAATACATTTGTTGTATTTGTAAAAATTCAGTAGGAATTTTCATTAGTGTTCACATTACATGTATTGAAAGAGTCGATATTCTTCACAGTTGGTATATTTTTTGTTTATTAAAAATGTGCCCACATGAAGGAATATGCTCTAATTAGTTTATTGGCCGCTCATCATAGATGCTTTCCTTATGCTCTTCTTAAGAATAAACTCAAGGTTTGTTGCCTTTATTCTTATTCGCTAATTGTGAAGAATTGGGTTCTACTGGGTTACAGGATTAGCAAAGATTCTCAAAAAGTACGACAAAAGAACCGGTGCTCTTATCAGACTACCATTCATCCAAAAGGTTTTGCAAGAACCTTTCTTCACGACCGACCTGCTCAACACATTTGTGAAAGAGTGCGAGGCTATGCTCGACCACCTCTTCCCATCTAACAAAAGTTGGAATCTGGAGGAAGGAGGAGAGGCAACAACTTCTGGAACGGTCAAGACAGAAGCGGACGGTTCTGATGTCCTCAGAGTTCCAAAAGACCTGTCTGAGATCGAGTACATGGAGAGCTTGTATATGAAGAGCACTGTGTCGGCATTAAGGGTATTAAAGGAAATCCGCAGCGGTAGCTCCACGGTTAGCGTCTTCTCGTTGCCACCATTACCAGCGAGTGGATTAGAAGATGATTCTTGGAAGACGAAAGTTGGTGTCCTCGAACAAGTAGCCAAATGAATTATGACTTGTTATATTATTATTTTTGAATCTTTTTTGTTGGTTTTAAATAGTTTATGTACAAGTAAACTTACAATTGTAAAAGATGAAACAAAACTTAGAACTGTGATCGTCTTTCCACAATCAAAATTTGGTTCCGTCTACTTTTCTTTTGCTGCCAATTATGAACATCTCTATAAAACCCACTAACCGACTTTTTAAAAATCAATAACCTCTAATCGACTGGTGACTGGTACTGGTGAGACAAGACCAAGGGGATAAGACTAAAGATGAATATCCGAGGCTCTGAGCAACGCATATTTTAGTTTCTAAATTTTTTTAATCCTTTGATTGAATGATTAAGATTTTCGCCGTGTTCAATTTTATGTGTTTTCTTTTGTACTGTTATATATTATTAGTTTGCTAGAAAATGTATTTCCTCTTTCAAATTCTAGTTATCGAATAAATCAAGTAGAGACCTATTACGTATGTACATTTCTTTTCATAAACTCATACAACATTTATAATCTAGACTATTGAGTCGCTTGCTTATTATGTAAAACTAGTTTTAGTAAAGCTATGATTTACTTCTTTCAGAAGCAATTTTATTTTTGTTTGCCTATAGTTATGTTTAGTTCTGTTACATGTAAGTTTACAAACTGATATAAACACAAGAAATCCAATAATACTTATATTAGAAGTGGGTTTAGCACCTCCAATTAGCTAGGTCCATGTAAATTGTTAAGGCCCATTGACCAGGTTAATGGAGAGTCAAACCAAAGTCAATGAATCTAATCAGCATAGCCCCGCATAATTATCATCATCACGATGCCAATCTACAGTGAGCAGAACCGAGTTGAAGCTGACACATGTAGTAGAGGCAGTTCGCCTATGATAACACCGTATTTGTACCAATTTTCACCATTGATTTCAAATGCTTTTTCAAAAATTTTAATCAGTTTTATAAACTTTTATTATGATTTTTCTATATTTGTAATTTCAAGGCTGTTTTCAGGAAACTTAGAGAAAAAATGGCAAAATGGAAGAAATCCACATTTATAGCTCAGAGTCAGACCGTCAGAAGTTCAACCTCAAATGAAGATTTTCTCACTGTCTGATCCAGCTCAAACTTGAAGACATTCAAGTGGAGACGACCAGCTTTTCATAGCATTTTACATCAGGAAGATCCAACGGTGAAATCAAAAGATACATGGAGAACAAGTTCACCAAATTCACAAGTCCTGGAAGACTCTCACCCGAGGCAAACAAGCATTTTACCTGTCCCGGAAGACTCTCACCCCCAGTGGACCAATGCCGAGCCACAAGGCCCAACATCAAAGCCCATTTCGCCATTCCTCTTCAGAGAAGCCCTAAATGAGACCTGGAGGACCTCAGGACCTATAAATACATTTCTTAGCAGCCCTAAACGGCTGTGTGCTCCTGTAATGAGATTTTGAACCACCTAACTTTGTTTTTTTAGGGTTAGGCGATGGAGAAGGAGATTCTTCCCTAGATATATTGTTCTTTCTCCTTTTTTACTAATTAACTTTTCTGTTTCGTCTTATGCATTTTTTCATGTCTTTTATCATTCCTTGCATCATGTAAATCTGTCTCAGAGAGTCAAGTTTCTAAAGAGTCATCGATAGGTATACATGTTCGATTAGGATTTCTAAGTCTCTAAACCATATTCTGGATCTCATCTCTTTACACTTGTGAGAATGAGTTCCGAGAGCAATTCTCAGAAGATGAAGAGTAAGGTCTGTTTGTTGAAGATGCAAACCCTGGAGACAATTTATCTAGTAGCAACTCAGAACCAATAACCAAGAGCATATTGATGGGCTTGCAGGCCTAGGGTTGTTTTTTAACAAGCCATTAGTCCTCCAAAAGTTTTAAATTTATAAAACCCTAGTGTATGCAAGTGCACAGATGTACGTTGTTGGACTTAGGGTGTCGATCCACAGGGAGGATGTCTAATCTGCGAGAAACAACAAACTAGGAAGTAGGCAAAGTCATAAACCAATTAAAGATTTTGGGATTTTTGGTTAAGATCCTAAACTAAACCTAATCTAATATTCACAAGAAATGCAATGCAGGATGAATTGTTAAAAGAACATCTAAAGCATATCGACTCAAACTAAAGACTCTTAAACTCATAGGTGGCGATTTAGACTTCTCCGGGTTACTCTAATCGATGTATGATGGTATTTCCAATTAGCTTCCGGGCGATTTATCTTCATCTGTTTCTGGGAATCTGCATTGAACTAGAATAGACATATGTATGATTAACCAACTGTCGACACCTTAATCAACTAATCTCTTAGATCTAGCAATTAACTCTTGCTCTCATGCTAAACTTAAGATCATGCATTAGATATTGAATTTGTCTACTCACATATTCTCTATAGGTAGCTCTCGACTCCTATAGCGACTATGTTCTTCTGAAGCTAGGTATAGATGATCTGATACAGCACTCTCGTGGCTCTGATCGATCCTAGGCTCAGAGAATAGGTCATGAATCTACTCTCATGCTTTATGAACAACTTAGAAGAGATGAGATCCAGAATATGGCTAAGAACAATAGAAATTCTAATCGATATATATGCTTGTCGATATCTTCAAACAACTTGACTCTCTAGGACTGATTTACATGATGCAATGAATGATAAAAAGACATAGAAAAATGCAAAAGAATGAAACAGAAAAGTTAATAAGATAAAAAGGAGAAAGAACAATGGATCTGGGGAATAATCCCCATCTCCATCACCTAACCCTAGAAAAACAGAGTTTGGTGGCTCAAAATCTCATTACAGGAGCACACACCCGTTTAGGGCTGCTAAAAAATGTATGTATAGGTCCTAAGATCTTCCAGGTCTCATTTAGGGCTTCTCTGAAGATAAATGACAAAGTAGGCTTTGATGTTGGGCCTTGTGGCTCGTCCTAAGGTCCCCCAAGGGTGAGAGTCTTCCAGGGCAGGTAAAACATGTGTTTACCACGGGTGAGAGTTTTCCGGGACTGGTGAACTTGTTCTCCATGTATCTTTTAATTGCACTGTTGGATCTTTGTGATGTAAAATGATATGGAAAGCTGGTTGTCTCCTCTTTATTGTCTCCAAGTTTGAGCTGGTTTAGAGGGTGAGAAAGTCTTTATTTGAGGCTGAGCTTCTGACGGTCTGACTCTTAGCTAAAAATGTGGATTTCATCCATTTTGCCATCATTTTCCTAAGTTTTCTGAAAAGATCCTTGAAACTACAAATACATGGAAATCATAATAAAAGTTCCTAAAACTAAGTAAAACCTTTGAAAAAGCATTTGAAATCAATGGTGAAAAGTGGTCAAAATCAGGTGTTATCACATATCCAGAGAAACACTGATCGAATTCAACAAATTTGTGAAGTCCATTCCTCTCTACCTCAGATTCAATGACATCTGGAAGCAAAGCTGCCTTCAATTTTTCTCTAGATATAGCAAGGAGACTAAGGAGAACATCTCCACATATTTCAGAAGAGCCAGGTATCTATCTTTTCTTAGATCATCACCTGATATGATCGTGACCAGCTCAGAGGAGGAGGAACCAGAGGTAGCTGGCAGGATCACTCGTTCCAGAGCTAGAGAGATGGCTAAGGAGGCTCACGCACTCATTGCCACAGAGGACAGCGATCACCAGGAGGCTGGAGCTCACATCTTCAACATCTCTATCTTGAAGAATGAGGAACCCAGTAACAATGACTAGGTAACTTAGGTGATGATTCTGTACTCTTTTCCTTGGTGAAGATTTTGGAAGGCAAGGAGGTTCTTCTCCAAGGTTTTTAACGAGGCAGAAATCATTGCTACGTCGAGTTACTTAGAAGTTGTTACTAATGGGTAATAATGTGCAAAGTCACAATGACTTGTGCACTTAGTATTTTGGCGCACCACTTAGGATTTTAGGGACGCCTCGCTGTTTTTATTTTAAATCAAACTTCCTGTTGTTTTTATTTAAACTTCATGTAGTTTTGTTTCTTTAGGGCTGCGATTTCTCTAAGTCTATATAATAGAGAAATCGCCTAAGTCATTAGGCAGCTTGGAATTTTAACGTAAAAAGAGAACAGCATCGTTTTCCTTGATTCCTTGACTCAAAAGTTCATTGAATTCGATTTTCTTACAAGTGTTTCTTACAAGAAAATCTTCAACCTATCATCTAATCGATTCCCCATCCTCTATTCTCGCCATCATCCCTTATCCATCGACCATACTCTCGCGAATCCATCACTACCAGATCGTTTCGGATCCGATCTCTTCACGCCACCATCTCGCATCATCAATCCGAGCCACTCACTACCATTGCCACTCATTGTCTCGCTCACTAGACCACCATCGCAAATCCATCGAGTCATCACCGCGCCACCACCACCACCTTATCGCCTCATCGTTCCATCTTGGTCAATATATCGCCACCTGTAGCCTTGTTCTTCAGAGTAGATTCCCTTGGATCGTATCACGTGGTATCAGAGCCAACTCTGAACCAAAGGCTGAGTGAAACTCTAACCCTAATCTCCGTGCTTTGAATTTTCGTCTCTGTGATATTAGGGTTAGCGAGTTTTGTGACTGTGTGCATCGATTTGATTCCTTTTGTTTCATATCATCGCATCGTTCCCTCTTGTTTTGTGTTTAGGATCGATCGCTGTTAGGATTCCTGTTAGATCGTGTTCGTCTCAAGTTTATTTCGAGTCTGATTGTTTTTCGAGTCTGCTCATTCATTGTTTTCGTTCGGATCGATACGAGTCTGCGTGTAGTCGTGTTCTTAGGGTTTGTTAAGAGTCTGCGCGACTTCGTTAGGTTTGTTAGGGTTTCGTGATCTCGTAACTCGTTTGTTAGTGTGTTAGGGATTCGTTAGTCTTCGATTTTTGTTGTTAGGCCTCGTTTTTCATCGTTTTTTTTTTGTGTAGGCTTGTTAGGAAATCTTTTTGTGATTTCTGTTAAGTTTAAAAAAAAAAAAAAAAATATTTTCGTTAAATTTCATTAGTTTCGTTAAGTTTGTTTTTAGATTTCGTGGGGATCTTTTAATTTTTTTATGATGAGTTTAATTTTGCTGTTTTCGTGATTTCTTCTCGAACAAGTTACTGCAAGTTTTTTTTTAATTTTTTTAGGTACCATGGAGCTTTCGGCTGAGGCGATGGAAGCTCTGAAC